ATCTCTTTCCATATTTTCTGAGGTATTACTACAGTTGCTATTTATAATTGAACTAGTACTACTAATACTTTCAATTTCCCACGATTGAAACTGTTTTGTTTTTATCCAAATTTGATATAATTTATCAGCGATGTTATCAAAGGATTCCTTTAATATGTTGTCTCTATATTTAATTGTAATAACAATTTTTCTCAACAAATATTTTAATAAGCGGTCTCTTTCCAAAAAGCTAGTCTCACTTTCTTGAGCCCTTATAAAATATGCTATAGTAAAGGTAGTATATGATACAACATTATATTTAGGTACTATTCACAGAAATTAAAAATTATTAAAAGATGGTAGTTTTCCTGATTGAGTTTTGTAGTCTAGGTGACACTGTAGGCAGGATTGATCTAAATGAATAATAAATGAGATTTTATGATCTTTAAGTTCCTTATGAGCAGCTATGTGTTGTCAGACGATTAGTAGGTACTGTTCTTCAGTGATATGATCAGTGCTAGATTCCTTCAGATTTATTGAGATTCGTTGTCAAAATAATCGTCACTAAATACTAATTCGTCCCACATGGCCTTAATCTTGTGAAATTCAATAAAATGTTTTAGGTCGTTGATGTTATTTTGTAAACATTTAAGGCAATTGATTGAAATAACTTCTTCATTTTCTAGTGATTTGTACTGAAATTAAATTTCAGTAACCTACAGCTGAAGTTGGAAAAGGATAGGTCTTACAGCTACTGTCAATTGTTTAAGTATCCTTCGCATGCGTTTGATTTTACCAGATTGGTTTTTACTCCACCAACCTGCACTAAATTGTTATCTTACAATATTAACGACTGAAAATTAGTATTAATGCAAGATTAACAAGGGATTTAGCTTTTATTAAATACTTTTTAAGGAGAGCTCTGAGGGTTTACAAATAATGATTACTTCAAATGATAATGTATATTTTAGAATAAACTTTAGGATTTTATTAAGAAATAAAGAATTCGATACAATTATATTTGTTAGCATATAATTGTTATTAGTATTTATCTTGTTGGTGATAAAAACTAATTGAATTCTAATTATTAACAAACTATTATCTTTTGTTATCTATTACTATTTATCGCTACTCAAGTTGTCTACTTTAACCAAGTCTTAAAGCTATCCTATTTATACTAAATTTGCTAACATAAATAAATAAAATACTAATTGATTATAAATAATAAATGATTAATAATACAAAAATGATTAATAATATAATGGAATTTTCCGGTGACTTCTGGGTTTTTCGTATAATCTTTATTTAATTCATTTCTCTCGTCTTTGCCGTCTTCGTCATTTAATGTAGCACAGTCAATATGCCTTTTTAGTCACGTGTATCACGTGATCTTTTGGATTAATATCTTCTTATAACAGTATATCTTAGCGATATTAGGCAAAGAATTATTTCTACTCAGCTTAATATTCTAACTAGTACTATAAGTGATATCATAAAAAAATATAAAGAAACTGGTTCTTCAGAACCTAGACAACGTTCCATATGACTAAAAAATACTCAGTGAATATGATATCTGAGCTTTAAAATGTATTGTCTGAACTGATCAGTTTTCTTCTCTAGGTAATGTGACAGATAAACTAAATACTAGTCTTGACGCAACTGTACACTATAATACAGTCAGAAGTTACCTTTATGATGAAGGTTTCAGAAGTTATACTGCATAAAAAAACCTTATTTAACTCCAAAATATCAAACTAATTGCTTAAATTAGTGTTAAAAAAATTAGATAAAGGAATAGAAATAAGTGGTATGGTCAGATAAGTCAAGATTTGCTTTTTTTCAATCAGACGGTCAAGTAAAAGTATGGAAATGTCCTGGAGAAGCATATAATAAAGATTGTATTCAGCCAACAGTTAAGTTTGAGGAAGGATCAGTGATGTTTTGAAGATATTTTGATTGGCATAGGGTTGGTCCTTTGGTTATGGTGAAAAAAAACATGGATTTTAACGAATATATAAATGTTCTGGCTAATAATTTTATCCCATAGATTGACAATTATCTAAACTTCATTTTTCAACAAGATGGAATGCCTTATTATACTTCAAATTACAGCGTTTGGTGAATGAGAACATATAGTATTCTGATTTTAGATTGAGTGGCACAGAACCCTAATTTAAACTCCATCAAAAATCTGTAAAACCATTTGGATTATCAGGTTCAAAAAAGAAAGCCTTTGCTTAAGTCTAAATAGGAGTTAATCAGGGCAATACAAGAGGAATGACAAAAAATTACTATTGAAATATGTCATCACCTAATTTTAAGTATGTCTAATCAGGTTAAAGCTGTAATTAAGGCCAAAGGTAGTTATATTAAGTATTAATTTTTTAGCTATAATATTTTTTGTATAATAGCTTTATATTTTATATTTTAATAAAATAAAATTTATTTGTTAATTAATAAGTATGAAAAAAATTTATATATGTATATAAAAATTATGAATTTAATGTAAATTTTATAAATAAAAAAAATCTGAATACTTTTTATAGGTCAGTGTATATATTTATATTAAACTTTTATATATTTTTCTTTTCTCATATTAGATTTTGATTATCTTATTATTATTCAAACTCTATTATAATATTTATGGAAATATCTAATTAAATATATTATGTTAATTTTGAATTTAAAATTATAAAACATTTATTTATTACAAGTTAAATTAAATAATTAGTTTGAATATTTAATGAATAAATATAAATTGCTAAAAAATTTTTTAATCTAAAAAAGATTTATTACAAATTTTATACTTTTGTATAATATAATTAGTTGACTATACAATATAATTTATTTACAGATCTAAGTATTACTTATAAAATTTATATAGCAAAATCTATAAAATAAAAGATAGATAAGATTTTGATTAATATCTATACAAAAAAAAATTGATTAATATACTTTTATTTATAAGCATATAATAAGAAATTTTAGAGTATTATTATAAGATAAAGCATTATTTTTTTTTATTAAGTAGTATAATGCTACTTTTTTATTATTTATATGAAAATTTTAAATAATTGCATTATCTTTCAGATCTAATATCTAGTAAAGATTTTGTATTACAAATCATTTGAAAAGTTATATAATATTTAATAACAGAAAATTATAAACCTTTATTTAAAAGTTTTTAAATAAAAATAAAATAAAATGATAACTATAAAAATAAAATATAGTATACTTAAGATTACTTGTCTAAATTTATTTTAGATTTAACAAAACGTCTAAATTATAATTTTGCTAATTTTTTACTAAGGTTTTGATATAATTTCACATTTTTATAAACTTTGATATAGTTTTACCTTTTTTAGAATTTTGCAGAATTTTTAATAAAGTTTTAATATAATTTTGCTATTTTCATTTAGACAACTTGTAAAACCTCTAGATTTCATCTAATAACCTTAAGTATACTATTTTGTTTTTTATTGTATGTAAAAAATATTGATGTTATTGTAAATTGCATTAAGTGTAAAAATAATCATGTCTTATTTAAAATAAAAACAAAATGATAATGATAAAAGAATATATATAAAATTTTAAATATTTTATTTTATTAAAAATTAATTCTTAAAAAGCTTATATATATATATTAAATATTTAATAAAATGATTTTATGATTAAAGTTTAAATTTTAAACTTTAAATTATATATATAGTTTAAGTTTAAAGTTTAAACACAAGACCTAATTATATAATTTAAAATATAATATTTTTATTAGTAATCATAAAAAAAAATTAAAAGTTTAAAATTCTATTTTATTAATATAATTAGAATATTTAAACCAATTTTTTAATTTGTATTAATTAAATTATAAATATTTTTATTTTTTTGAATTTTTTTTTAATATAAATTTATATACTTATAATCAATTTTTATATATATTATTATTATAAATTATGTCAAAAATTATCAATTAGGATTTTGATAATTAAATAAATTTATATTAATAAGAAATAATCTATTAGTATAAATTTATAACCAATAAGTTTTTAATTTACATATCCTAATTAGAATTTAACTATATTCTTGTGCTACTATTTTAATAATAATTAGATTTTAATTGTATTTAATAAGAAAATATTAAAAATTAATAGGATATTAAATAGAATATTAGTTGATATTAAGGTTGTTTATTTAAACTTATTTAAATTTGATAAAATATTGAAACTTTTATTTTATAATTTTTTACTAAAGTTTTAATATAGTTTTAACATTTTATAAGTTTTAATATAATTTTATTTTTTTTGAATTTTGTAGATTTTTAATAAGGTTTTAATAGAATTTTACAAATTTAACTTTTAATATTTAGATAACATACAAAACTTCTAAGTTTATTTAGTAATCTTAGTTGATATTTTATTAATTTCTAATTTATTATTATTGTACTTATGTTTTTAAATTATAGAAAAATAAATATTAATAAAATTTAAAAATAATATAAAAATTTTGATTACTATCAAAATTTTAATAAAATTAATAGTAGGTATTTTAGTTTTAGCTAAAATTATCAATTATTCTAACAATTTAAAATCAGATATTAATTTTTAATGATAATTAACAATATATTTTTTTATTTCTATATAAAAAATCAAAAACTGAAAGAAAAACCCAAAAAATTTAGTAAAAAAATCTTATAAAATAAAATAAACTAGATATAATAAATATCATTAATTTATATAATATTATTAAAGTTTAAAGACAAATAATCAATTGGTTTAAAAAATATCAATTTATTTTTTTTAAATTACAAAATAAAGAATTCTTTTTTTTTTTTTTTTAAAAAAAAAGGAATTTGATATATTTTGTTAAATTATAACTTTACTTTTCATTATTTAGTGTAAAACTTGAAATAATATTTTACCAATCCTTGATAAAACTTAAAATAAAAGTAGATTCATTAATCTAATTGCAAATAAATTATATTAGAAAATATGCTATAAAAAAAAAAAAAAAATAATAATAATCAAAATTATCACCTCTTGTTCTTCCTCTATAATAATTTCGCCACCTTCGGATTTTTCAGAAACAGGTAAAAGAGGACGTTTCAAAACTTTAATAATAAAATCCGATTGAGATTTTAAGACCTTTTCAATTTGATTATCAATATCTTTTGTAAATTTATAATACATTAAAACTGGATCAAAAGGATGTAATCCCGCCTGCAAATTGAAAAGGAAAATAATAATAATAATAATACAAATTTTATAAGTTTTTTACATATTTTAAATAAATAAAAATATTATCTTTTTCTACCTTCTTTCTAAGCCTTTGCACACGATTAACAATTTCTCGTGCACATCCTTCTTCTTGTAAATCTTGATAAACTTGTACGTCCAAAAGGATCAGGACATCCTTATCATTGTTCGTTTCATAATGACTATTAGCATCCTTGAAATATCTGATCACTTGCAGGTCCTCTTCGACGATTTTAATTCCGCTAGTCATAATCTCTTTAGTTTGAACAAACTCTTTAACTTGCTCGGAGGTCAGTTCAGGTAAAGCATTTTTAACCTTATTAAGGTCCTTTCTCAGTTTCTGACCCAATACTTTCAAGTCGGCTTCTACTCGATATTTAATACCATATTTATCTTCGTCAGATGTGACAATAAGATTTTTAATATTTAGTTCCTGATTAATTATGACAATTATTCGATTAATAATAATAAAAAAAATTTACAATGCTTATCATAAATGTATAAAATTTTACCTCAACAATATAATTCTTTAGCGATAGAACATCAGAATGATATTGAGGATCCGAATGAATGACAATCAGTTCTTTTAAAGGTGTCTATTTTATATATATATATATATATTTTAATAATACATGGATTTATAAATACAATGTTTAAAGATCTTCAAACCTTAAGTCCAATATTTTTTTTCTCACGAATATAACGGCCCAATTCTATAACTGATTGCATACGTGAAACACATCTCTCAATCTCTAAATCGAAATACTCTTCTCGAACTTCCGGGAACGATAAGAAATGCACTGAGCGAAGATCTTCGGTAGAATTAGATGATGGAAGATATTTTCGTAAACTTTGATACATATATTCAGTAAGGAAAGGAGTAAATGCAGCCTATCAAAGATAATGAAAAAATTCTTTAGTTAAATAAAATAAAATATAATAATACTTGATTATGTAGATATCAAGAAATTAAAATATTTTACCATAGAACGACTTAAGGTAAACAATACTTCATAGAGTGCATTTAGTGCGTTCACAGCATCTTCGGAACCATTTTCTCCTTTCAAACGCTTGCGGTTAAACCTAACATACCAATTTGTCAACTGTTCAATCATACTAAGTAGTCGAGGTACGACTGTGTATAAATGGTACACTAAATAATGAAGTTTTAATGTGAATATCATTTGTGACTGCAAAGAAAATGTTATCACGGAATATTCTTTACCTTTCATCTCTTCTCGAACAAATTTTATTAAACTTTGTGAACACGCTAAAATCCATCTATCCATAACGTTGGTTGATTGCTTAGCCGATGGATTGTAAAGGAATTCTATACCTGATTCCTGTATTAATAAATTTATTAATTATCAGCAATTAATAATATCCAAAAATACATTATAAATTATATTAACGACCTTCTGAAGAAGAACCACTTGTGATATGAAGAATCTATAAGCATTAAACCAAGGTAAAAACACTTTTGAAATAACTTCTTTGACTCCCTCTTCTTTAAATTTCAAGGGTTCGGCACGAACTACCGGAGAGTTAATAAGATATAATCTTCGTAATAGAAAATAATTAATGTAATTATGTGATATTAAATACAAATTATGTTTATATAAAACTATTTTAATCTCAACCTCAAAGCATCAGCACCATATTTATTGATGATAGACGTGGGTTCGGGATAATTTTTGAGCCGTTTGCTCATCTTTTTCCCGTCGCTACAAATAATTAACTAATTAAGATCTCATTCATAATTCTTAAAAATCCGAATAATATGAATACATAAAATAATACATACGATGCTAAAACCAAACCGTTAACAATCAAGTTTTTAAATGCAGGTTTATCAAACAAATGAGTCGACAAGACCATAAGAGTATAAAACCATCCACGGGTTTGATCTAATCCTTCTGCGATAAAATCAGCAGGAAAAGATGATTCAAATTTTTCTTTGTTTTCAAAGGGATAATGACATTGGGCATAAGGCATACTTTTTTAAGAAATATTAATAAGATTTGAGAATCTTTTATAACTAATTTCTCAAAAAAAAAACAGAATAAATTATTAAAACCATTTCTGCAAACCTGCCAGATTCAAACCAGCAGTCAAAAACTTCTTCTACTCTTCTCAATTGACCGTTTCCCTTCTTTGAAGGGATAGTTATGTGATCAACTTTATCACGATGAATATCAGTCAATTTATCACATCCAGATAATTCTTCTAATTCTGCTAACGAACCAATACAAACGATCTATATTCATAATGAAATATAGAAGGTGAGAAGGATAACTCTCAAATAAAAGCAAAGTTGAGCAAAAAAAAAAAAAAACCTCGCTATAGTCGTCGCTAACCCAAAGAGGAATTGGAGTACCCCAATAACGATTTCTAGAAACGTTCCAGTCACGTGCGTTCATGACCCAGTTAGCGAACCTCTTTTCTTGAACGAAATCAGGAACCCTGAATGATAATAAAGAAAATAAGTCATTAGATCCATTTAAAATCATGAATCGTAGATTTGTAAAAAAAATTACTACTCACCAATAACTTTTTTTATTGTTGTCTAGTAATTTGTCAATGATCGGCTTGATTCGAACGAACCATGAAGGAACAGCTTTGTATATCAAGGGAGTATCTGAACTAAATTTTTTGAAGGCTAAAAAACGTTACAAATCTAATTCGAACGCCAAAAGGTTAAGAAACAGCTTAAAGAAATATGTATATAAAATATGATTTTAAATATTTTTTTTTACTCACCGCCAACAGAAAGGATAACTATGCGTTAATTGGGATTGAATAATTAGTCGGCCTTTATGTTTCAAAGCCTTTTGAATATCTTTATCGGCATCCTAATAAAATAAAAATATATATGTAATATAATTTATGTTAAATTACATTAACATTAATTATTCATACCTTGACATAGATTTCCGCAAAATCGGTCACTTCTTGAGTGAAACGACCTTGTTCATCAACTGGACATGGAAGTGAGCCATCTTCGCTAATAATCCTATTTTCAAGGCATATACGGTAATCGTCTTCACCAAATGCCGGAGCTTGATGTACTATTCCCGTTCCACTATCATCAGTGACATAATTATCATTGACTACAATGAAACCTTTACCTTTAAACTTTTTGATTACAAATGAAAGAAGAATTAATAATTATCTAATGGAACTTGATTACTCTAGTATGATAAATCTAAATTAGTGACTTTAGAAGTTTGATACCTGAGAAACAAAATAGTCAAATAATGGAACATATTCCCATCCTTTCATTTCTTTACCAGAAAATTTTTGCAATACTGTATATTTTGCTTTTTTAGGATCCTTATACAGCACATTCAAACATTTTTCTAAAAGTACATATGTACGCCCAGAAAGATCATCCTTGATCTTAATGTATTCAAAATCAGGATTTGTA